ACTAGCATGTCGTGCAACAGCAGGTGAGAGGGCTTGCGGAGGGGAATGACTGCATGCATCTCATGTGCGTTGTTGTCTGGTGTGCGCATATATGTGTGTGTGTGTGTGTGTGTGTGTGTGCAGTCGGGACCGCAGTGGAGAGCCGGCTCGCCGGCGACGGCGTGTCTCTGAGGGGCAGGCATCCCTCAGACAAGCGATAGTGGTGACCCCACTTGCTGTGCGCCACCAGATTGTGTGTGATGGGGACGGCCGTCGCCCCACCGCTGACGCTCGGGTCACGTTCTCGGTCACTTTCTGGGACGACCTTAGCACCAACCACGGCCACACGACAGGCTATGGTGACGTGACGTGTGCAGTCAATGATGACACGCTGTCGGACTGGCTGAGAGAGGCGCTGCTGCTGATGTCTGTCGGGGAGATTCGACACCTCACTGTGCCTGGCGAGGTGTGGGGGTGGCTGGGTGGGCGGCAGGACGTCGAGCGGCGGGTGGTGGTGCGGCTGAGTGCTATCGTCGCTGACGTGAGGGACACAGTGCTATCGGCAGGAGCACCACACGATGCGACGATGGGTGAACCGACAGGGAATGGAGAAAAGACACAAGCTCAGACGGAAGAGCACGGCAGTGGGGATCCTGATGTGGGCGCGAGAAAGGGAGCACGGAAAGGGAAAAAGCGAGGAAGATCCACTGGACGCTTCGCACCGCTCACTGTGTCCCGACCTCTCCGAGCGTGTTTCGAGAATGATGCAGAGCCCGAAACAAAAAGGGTCTGTTATCTGAGTGAGGAAGGTACGTATGTATGTATGTCTCTGTGTTGCGTTGGGCGAATTGCAAATGATCTGTCTGTTTGCTTTTCGCAGAGGCGAAAGCGCATGCAAATTCGCTGATTGATGCATATGGCCACGTGTGTCGAATCGACCCGCCTCCCCGCATTCGGTGGAGCTGGGAGTCTGCACTATTCCGAGCGAAGTTTGAGGGGAGGAGGCAGACGCGCTGCAGCAAGCCACGCAAACTCACGCAGGACGATATCACGAGTGCCTTTGAGAGAATCCGAGAGCGCTGCGAAGCTGACGCTGAGCTGGAGTGTTTCGTGGTGACGGAGGAGGACAAACAGCCTGCCAAGACGGAGCAGGCAAGCGGCGAGGACGAGACAACACGAGAGCCGCTGCTCACGCGCAATGGCGTCAGTCGCTTCGCGCACGAGCTGCTGCGAGAGCACGAGCGGTCACAGGGCGTGAATCGGAAGCTCTGCTGGATGAGAGTGAACTTCAACGGCGCGGGGCGGGGCTGCTTCGAGGTGCACGTGCGACCCAAAGAGGCAACGGGCAGACCAGTCATGGAGGGCTTCCGCATCGAGCGAGCGACGCGCAAGGAGGTGAAGGCGGCGTTCCAGCGAGCAGGACGGTTTTGAGAGCTACTGTGTCTTCATTTTCCAGGTGACCTGAGAGAGACACGACACATGCAGACAGACACAGGAGAGCGAAGAGAGAGCGAAGAGAGACAAGGGTGACGCTTACTGTGTACAGAGAGCGGTGCGTGTGACCAACCCTTGCTGGACCCGACCGTCGAACTGCCTGACGAGCACGTGTTGCCGAAGCGCACCGCCTGTGACTACTGCGACGCTCTCGTGTGGGAGGGCGAAGGTGGATCGTTTTGCTGCCAGCAGGGCAAGACAGTGCTGGACAACCTTTCCGTGCCTGATGAGCTGCGTAGCCTGCTTGCGTCACGCTACGGCAAGGAGCTGCGTGCAAAGTCGCTTTATCTCAACAACACCTTTGCCATGACAGCTATCGGCTACGATACCAGTTCAGACCTCGCCGCATCCCTTCCACAAGACTGGGGCAACGTGAGGATTCATGGTCGTGTGTACCATCGCATCATCTCTGCAGAGGACAACCCGATTGTGTGGCTGATGTTTGACAACAAGGCAGCTGAGACGGAGCTCAAAAAGCGCGTCGACCAGATGTGCAAGGAGACGGGCAGCGCAGCAGCGCACGACAGGGAACGGCAAGCTTACGAGTACCTCGTTACAGAGCTGAAAGTAAGCAAACGACACACCGAATAGCATAAGGAACTGCGGCATTCATGGCTGTATCTATTTGTTGGTCAGGAAATCCTTCGCGAAAACAACCCCTTCGTCCGTGACTTGCGCGCCTTCGGGCGGCTGGTCGAACACGGGAGAAAGGACATAATTCTCGAGTTCAAGTTCAAAGAAGAGGCCGACGACGTGTGCTTGGTCCTGCCGTGTTCGAGCTCCGCCTATCTTCCACAGCAGCGCAAGGTGTGCATCTCGCTCAAGAAGTCGACACGTAGAGGCGAGTCGACAGAGTTCGTGGACGTGCTATCGCCGGTCTACGAGCCGTTGCAGTATCCCCTGCTCTTTGCTCAAGGGACGCCTGGCTGGTATCCGTCCATGCCCATCGAATCCAGGTGCGTGTCGCTGACAGGGCATTCGCTGTAAGTGGCGCTGCATGTATGTGTGTTGTTGTGTGTGTGGCAGGGGCAACTTCCATCTGTTTGCTGAGAGCACTTACATCAAGAACATGATCGATCGGCGGTTCTACACTCGCGCGTGGCACGAGCCAGACGTCTTAGAGGGCACCGCGAGACGTTGCGAGCGATTCTGGACACAGCTAAAGTACATGCGCCAGCGGCTACTCAAGGAGCCGCTGCTGCACACCATGCCTCGGCTTGGGCAGGGGTACACGCTCGATATGTTCTCGCGTATCGAAGACGAGCGACTCAACTTCATCCGCAACAACCAGCTTCGCCTGCTTAAGCTGAGTGAGCTACAGCGAGAGGAAGACCCCGAGTACCAGCAGCTTCTCGCGGAGAATGAGGACATGGAGGATCACGCCAAGGCTGGCTTTGTTCTGCTTCCAAGCAGTTTCCTCGGGTCAGAGCGCTACTACAAAAAGCTGTGTCAAGACGCGTTTGCTATCGTGGCGCAGTATGGCAAGCCCTCATGGTTCATCACAATTACCTGCAATGGAAGCTGGAAAGAAATTCATGAAAATCTGGAGCAAGGTGAGAAACACAGTCAACGAGCCGAGCAGCACAGCAGTCTAGCATGTCGTTGTGCGTTCTGGGTGGCTGTGCTTTCGCTCGTGTTTGCAGGGCAGAACGCGTACGACCGCCCTGACCTGACCAGCCGTGTGTTCCATCTGAAGCTACGTGCCCTGCTCAAACGCCTACGCAATGGCCCATTGGGCAAGTCGGTGTACCTGATGTCCGTCATCGAGTACCAGAAGCGCGGTCTTAGCCACGCCCACATCACCGTTCGCCATGATCGTCACCCACTGACCGGACCAGACGTCGACCTGTTCGTGTGTGCGGAGGTCCCCAGACACAATCGACGGCTCCGCAAGCTCGTGGAGACGTTCATGATCCACAAGTGCAGCGCTCGGTGCCGAGACGAGGACAGCCTGAAGGAGTATCACCGCTGCTTGAGGGCTCACGAGCCCGTTGTGGAGCGTTGCAAGTATGGGTTCCCACAGCCGCTCAGCGCCGAGACGCAGTTCGACGCCCGCGGCCACTGCATCTATCGCCGCAGACAAGAGGAAGACCGTTGGGTGGCACCCTACTGCCCGCAGCTGCTGGCAGAGTTCAATTGTCACCTCTATGTGGACTGTGCTGCATCGACCAACGTCATCGCTTACCTGTAAGCAGCCAAAAGGAAAATGGATGAAGCAGCAAGAAATCGCCCACGCACAAATGTGGTTGTGTTTGGCTCCTCGCTGCGCCGCAGATACAAGTACATGTACAAGCCCGAGAAGAGCGCCTTTCGCGTCAGTGTGCATCAAGAAGCCGACAGGAAGCGCAAGCGGGGAGCGGACGACGGCGACTCGCCACCCGACGACGAGCAACCTTCAGCGAAGCGACAGCGACAGCGGCATACCGCAAGACGCATGGCGAGCCTTCTCACAAGCACCCACACTCAAGAGCCCACCAAGCAACCAGGACGAGACGAGGTGCGTGACTACCAGCAGGGCCGGGTGCTGTGTGCAAGCGAGGCGTGCCACCGCATCTGCGGCCATCAAATCCACTGGACCGAGCCGAGCCGTCCGTGACAGCCCTACTGTCGACCTTCCATCTCATCGGGCAGCAGTGCAGAGAGTGCACGGCAAGGACGAGCGGGGCAAGATCTTCCCTCCCGGCCCCAGCCTCATCGAGCACTGGCTGCAGCGACCGTCCTCGGTTTCTATCAAGGGTGAAGAGATGGACCTCACTAAGCTGACCTACCAGCAGTTCTTCCAGCGCTTCGCCATGAAGCGCGGCACCCAAACAGTCCCTGCGAAGCTGGAGAAGTTCCAAACGCTGACGGGCCACACCTTCTACCAGCGAGAGGGATGGCAGCGCCACTGCACGCGGCTGGGCAGCTCCTATCCGAGCCAGGGCGAGAGGTACTACCTGCGATTGCTGCTGAAGAGCTCCGTCGCGCGACACACATTTGAGGTGAGACACGCATACACACACTCAAGCTCGGACACCAGTACATGACACATGAGCATTGTTTTGCTTGGTTGCAGAGCATTCGAACGATCAACGACGTCACATACGACACGTACGGCGAGGCAGCAAAGGCGGCGGGGCTGCTGGAGGGACACACATATGTGGAGAACGTGATGCGAGAGGCTGTGGAGGAGCAGGCCGTCTTTCCATACCAGCTGCGGTTTCTGTTCATGATCCTGATCCTCAACCACGAGTGCTCAGCGAAGAGCATCTTCAATCAGTACCTGCCATTCATGGTGGACGACTACGAGGAAGTCGACGATCCTGAGGCAGCGCGCGAGCGTCTATTGCGGGAGATTTCTGAGGACCTGCAGGAGAACGGCAAGTCGAACACCGACTGTGGTCTGCCAGAGCCCGAGAACCTCACTGCCGAGGAGCAGAGCGAGCGCAGAGCCTACGGCAGTCGAACTGCCATCAAGCGCTACTACGAGGAGCTGTACAACATGGTCAAGAACGTCAGGGAGCAGAGCGACCTGTTTGACGACATCATGCAGCACATCTATCCGAGAGGGGGTGGCGACCCTGTTCCGTTCGCGGGTCTCATCAAAGCTCCCGGTACACATCGACTCACACAACCACTGGTGTGAACAAATGACACAAGTCCGCATGCGTATCGTTTAGGTGGTGCTGGCAAGACCACGCTACTGCGATGCGTGCTCTCTGCGGTGCGCAGCCGCGGCGACATCGCTCTGGCAACCGCAACAACAGCACTCGCTGCACTCAACTATATCGGCGGCCACACTGCACACGGCCTCCACAAGATCCCCGTCGTCGATAACATCACTCGCGAGGAGGTTCGATGCACCATGAGCGTTAACTCGCCCAAAGCGGACCTGCTGCGAAAAGCGAAGGTCATCGTGTGGGATGAGATCAGGTGCCATACACACAGAGACACACACACACATAGACTGCAACGTGCGTCTTTGGTTCAGCATGGCGCACCGCAAGTGTATTGAAGCTGTTGACCTCATGCTGCAAGACGTCATGAAAAGCAAGCTGCCCTTCGGCGGCAAGGTCTTCATCTTTGCGGGTGACTTTCGCCAGCTGCCCCCCGTCCTTCCACGCAGCGAGGAATCGAATGAAACAACAACACTGAAGGCCTCCCTTCGCGGCTCGGACCTCTACGGTCAACTCAATCGGCGAGAGCTCAAGCGCGTGCAGCGTTCAGCAAACGATGCTGCCTATACAGACATGTGTTTGAAGGTACGTTCACTGCCAAGAGAGGGTGAGTGCCCTGTGCAGTGAGTGTCTCAGTGGTTCGAGTGTTCACTGCCCCTACGCACAAATGTTGCGACGCGTCGAGCCCAAAAGACAGGCGTCTCGATGCGTGCAACAAGCACAGCGACAACAAGAGCTAAGACAAATGAGTAGAGGTGGCAGTAGAACCCCTGTGGACCAGCTCCTGTCTGTGTGTGTGGTGTCGCTCTTCTCTCTCTCTCTCTGTGTGTGTGTGTGTGTGTGTGTGTTCGCTGCGTATGCTCACATACCAGTCTGTGGATGTGCCTTGCGAGGTGCCCACTTTTTGCATCGACCCTCAGAGCGACCCTTCTCTTCGCCGCGGTGACGAGACCCATTGGATCAAGCTCAACCACCAACACACCTTCAGCGAGCAAGACGCCATCGAATTCGCTTTCCCCGACGAGCTCTACAACCGCGACCCAGAAGCGTGTGCCACACGCGCCATCCTCTGTCCAGTCAACAAGGCGGTGGACGCGCTGAATGACACCATCATTCAACGCATGAACGGCAAGGAGTACACCCACACGGCCTTTGAGAGATTCCTGCAGAACGACCAGCAGGCCGGTCACCACGACGAGGAGTTCCTTGCCGCACAAGAAGAGTCGCCAAAGCCCCCACACAAGCTGCAGCTCAAGCCGGGCGTGGTATGTCTGGTGCTGCGGAACATGTCACGCCGCTACGAGTTGTACAACAACGAGAAGGTGATCTATAAAGGGCCCCGCGGCGAGGGGATGATCGAGGTCAAGAAGGTGAATGGGGGCGCCTCACCATGGCAGACATTCGTGCTACCACGCATCAACTTCACTATCCAGCCACGCAACGTGCGTGGCCTGAAGTTTAACCGCTGTCAATATCCGGTTAGACATGCATAGACACACACAGACAGAGAGAGAGAGAGAGAGACAGAGAGACAGACAGACAGACACGCAAGCTGCATACGCGTCTCTTAATGTGTGCAGGTCAAGCCGGCATACGCTGAGACGGTCCACAAGAGTCAAGGACAAACACTGGAAAAGATCGTGATCGAGATTCGTCACCACTTCTTCCAGCATGGCCACCTCTACACGGCCCTCACTCGTGTGCGTTACGGGTGCGATATGCTCTTGCTCACGTCGCCTGAGCGTATCTGTGACGGCCCGCCGATCTGTCGCAATATTGTCTATCGCAAATTACTTGAATGAACGAACTCGCCTGACGTGTGACATTTTTGTATTGTGACATTTTTACATCCGTTCATGCATTTGTTCGTCCGTCCGAAACAAAAATCACTAAATAGCATTGCACAATGTGTGCCTGCACGCATACAACACGGAAGAAGCCGGTGCCGCGCGCCACGCCTTCCAATCGCAAGAAATCCGCGGATGAATGGACTCATCAAAACACCTGTGAGAGTAGACGGATGCTCCCCTTTGCTAGATGGATGCATGGATAATGATGGATAGAACTGATCGGCCCGATTGATCATTTGGTTGACATGTTTGAGTGTCTGCTATGTTTCAGTGTCTGCTCAATGTCTCTGTCCATGTGTCCATTCCATGTGTGTAACGCTAGATGGATGTGACGATTCACATGTGACAACTCACCTCCCCCTCCTCCACTCCTTCGCTGTCTGTGGCTGTCCCTCCCGCCCTCCCACATGGAATACATGCAGGTATGTACACCGACCCTCATCAAAAAAGACAGCCAAGGATCGAAAAAGACGCCAGAGAATAGGTGCAGGCCACTCATCCAAGCAGCCACGCACACACGAACAAATGCCGATGAACGGTTATCGAAAAAGACGCCAGACAACAGCTGCAGACCACTCATCCAACAGCCACGCACACACAAGACCAAATGCCGACGAGCGGTCATAGAAAAAGACGCCAGAGAACAGGTGCAGGCCACTCATCCAAGCAGCCACGCACACACGAACAAATGCCGATGAACGGTTATCGAAAAAGACGCCAGACAAAAGGTGCAGACCACTCATCCAACAGCCACGCACACACAAGACCAAATGCCGACGAGCGATCATTAAAAAAGACGCCAGATAACAAGTGCAGACCACTCATCCAAGCAGCCACGCACACACGAACAAATGCCGATGAATGGTTATCGAAAAATGACGCCAGACAACAGGTGCAGACCACTCATCCAACAGCCACGCACACACAAGACCAAGTGCCGACGAGCGGCCATAGAAAAAGACGCCAAAGAACAGGTACAGGCCACTCATCCAAGCAGCCACGCACACACGAGACCAAATGCCGATGAGCGGTCATCGAAAAAGATGCTATAGAACAGGTGCAGACCACTCATCGACACGCGCAAGCAACCGCACGTGCACACACCACGGCCAACCGCAGAGCAACCAGCAAAGTCGACACACATGCGTGTGTGCACACACGTCAGTTGATCAACAAACATTCATTCACAACAAACACAGGTGTTCAGAAAGGCAGAACTCCATAGAAAGCCAACACGGCGAGCAAATAGTCATCGGTCCAGATGACCGACAAGTTGGTCTCAACCTTGAATCTCTCGTTCGTGCACTTGCCGCCCGGCTGCGACGAGGTGTTACCGCACTGCATGCCTGCATATCCCAGGTGGCTCTCGACCTTGCGCGAGTCGGTGACTTTATACTGCACATTCACACAAGCGCACATGACAAAGATACACATCGATCATCGATAGAAAATGCATTTCTGCTCACCTTTGCTGGAAACCCCTTCATCCACGCTCTGCACTTGAAGCACCGAGCGGGGTGCAAACGCAACACCTCCAGGACATCCATCTCCCCGAATATCTATAGCCACAGAGAGAGAGAGCACACAGAGAGCACACACAGATCACATATCACATACAAATCTACCCAGTCTCCCTCCCCACTCACCCTCCTGCGTCTGTAGTTTTTCTTCTGGAGAAACGACTGTAAAACGAAAAGGTCCACCTTTGATGACCTGTAAGTGGCGCTGCATGCATGTGTGTTGTTGTGTGTGGTGTTGTGTGTAGACCTTTTTTTCCTGCCGCACGACTAGCTTATTTCCCTTATCCCCCTCGAGCGAACAGGACAGGCGAGCGCTCTGTACCTGTGGGATCAGCTTGACGCACTTCATCATATCCGCCTTCCACCTCTCAACGTCCGCCTTCGTGTTCTGACCAGATCAGTCAACATCCACACAGAAGTGAGACACGCCAGGCCATGGTGCTTCATTCACTCACCAATGGCTGGATGACCTAGTCACAAGCGTGAGCTCCGTATTGGTCAGGCTTTTTGGACGTGCGCTCCTGCAGCGCCTCGAAAGTCAACTGCTCCTCGAAGTTTTTCACTGGGCAACGCATATCTGTATCAGTGAGTGCATGACACACGCCGCCAGATCACGTTATGATGACACAAGCATGTGAACCTGACTGTCCGTGTTACCTGAGTGCCCCGGCTTGCTGAGCTCCCCCGCTTTGCAGCTAGAGCACTCGGCGTCCGCCCAGTTCGTCTCGAGCTTCTTCGGAGGATCGAAGGCCACTCGGCCGCTGGCCAGACGCTCTCGCTTACGCAGAATCACCTTCACACATTTCTCGGAGGCGCAACACACACACACACACACACACACGACCCATCAAACACACCCACTATGCGTACACCCATGTTTCTGTGGCTTCCCACCTCGCACTCAATCGCCTCATCATCGAACAATTTATTCGACGACTCCTGCAAGAGGAACAAGCACAGCCATCAACACATCTGTCCACTCCCATTTCATCCCGCACTTACGGATTCTTCTTCGCTGTCGGACAAGTCGCGAGACGACCGAGCACGCGTGCTCGACTTGCGGCGCATGCGACGTGCCCTGCTGCGTTTGGGCTTGAGGCTGATGCCACGAAACGGGTCGCTGTCGTCCGCATCGCTCTCAGCCGCCTCTGACGCTGACCCCTCTTCCTCAGACGCGGATGACGCGACACACTACAGCACGCAATAGCACCAACACATCACACACACACAACCGAAGCCCACGAAAGTCTTCCCATCTAACATACCTTCTTGCGTCGCTTTGATCGCTTCCGCAGCCCCTCTTTGTCTGTGTCGTCATCGCTCCCCTTCTCGACATCCTACACGACACAAACCACAAATACAAAAGCAGGCAGACAAACCGCTTCGTTACCTTCTTTCTCTTCACTTCTTTGCTCTCACTGCCGTGACCGAGCAGCTCATGAGCCAACTCCGACACCTACACACACACACTCACACATCACGACACACACGAACTCGCCACCCTCCACCCTTGCGTACGCGTCGCCAATCACCCTCACTCAGAGCGTCCACCAACCCCGCCTCCAGCTTCTTACGCTCCTCCGACACGTCAGCGTTGCTCGAAGACGCAGCACCAGTTCCAACTGCACACAGCGACACACGGCGAGCACATGTCAGCACACAATGATCACTCATCCCCTTCACGTGCGTACCAGCCTCAGGCTCAGGGTCTACTGCCTCTCCCATCGCCTCCATGACGTCGCGCTTCTCACCAGCACTCTCCATCACCACAACAGCAAATGGAACTCAACGAACAGGTCAAAGATCTCACTTGATCTGAACACAACAAGAAGAACCGACGACAACACAGGATGAGAGACCCAATGAATCGCCCTCTTTTGTGTGACGCAATGAATCGCCCCTACCCCCTTCCGTGAAACCATACGCGAGCTTTCTCACCGGCCGCGCACGCGATCTTGTCAAACCCTATCTTCAAAGCTCTCACGAATGACGGGAATGGAGAAATGCTCCGCCTTATTCAGGTGGAGCACCCACTCATTGCTCATCGTGCAGCCGCCGTCCTTGATTCATCGGATTCCTACCCATCCCCTCGTGAGTCACATTCTCTCCGCTGGTCCGGCAACAGCAGCGGAGTGGATGCGGCCTCCTGCTGCCTGGCTCGGATCACCGTGTTAGCATTGCCTAGCGGCGTCCGACGGTGAGTGGGGATCCGAATTGACTCATCACGAGACACCATGTGATTCGCTGCCTCTGTGTGTCGGTATACTTGTGTTGCGCAGGTCTGCCTTATCGGCGGCACGGACCGATTGGCAGTTTGCTCGTCTGCGTCCATAATTCGACACACGATAGGTGGGCAGGCACAGACACAAAGCTTCCAGGGGGGCATAAGCCCATTTCATGGTTTTCTCTTTGTGTGGTGGATGCAGCGGTTAATAGGTGCGTGTTTGAGTGATGTCTGAGTCTTACGGCATCGGCGTGCCCTCTGCTGCCACGGCGGACGATGCCGATGGCGATGCAGGTACACCACAACCAAATACATCCCGCCACATGATGCGTTTCATGCGGTCGTGCGTTTCACTGTGTCTGCAGGCGACGTAGACGAGGAGGGGCATGGCGGCGGCGGACCAGCAGAGGACGACAATCGCAATGGCGTCGATGGTCAGTAACTGACAGATCATGCCACACAGATCAGTCGACACACCAGCAGCACAGCACACTCATGTGTTCTCTGTCGGTGCGTCGCCTGTGTCTGCGGTCAGACGAGCAGCAGCAGCAGCAGCAGCAGCAGGGCGGGATGGCTGACGAGGAGCGAAATGCACAGGCAGGAGCAGCAGCAGCTGAGAGCGAACCGGTGAGGCACTCATTCAATCACTCACGAACACAACACGAGTCAATGCGATTCGATGTCCGTCACGTTTGTGCTTGCCCCTTTGTGGTGTCGGGATGCCATGCAGGAGGCGGATGGTGATGATGGTGAGGCGGAGGGTGACTCATCCGACGACGACAGACAGATGTGACAATGCTATACACACACTCACTGTGTGCCTCCGTCGTGTGGTGGCTGTGCACTGCAGGTCACCATGTGGTGGTGGCCACTGGCGTGACTGTCCCTGACGGCTGTGTGGGCCCCACTGACATCGAGGCGCGCTTCCCCCTCGGCACCAACGAGGCCACAAAGCAGCTGGCATTGGGCGTCATCGGCCGCACCATCATCGACCCACACCGAGTGACCGCCCTCATCCGGCAGGACGGCGCCGACCCAGATGTCATGCCTCGGCTGCGGAAGAAGGGCAGCAAGCGTCATGGGTTCGCCCACTCACTGCTCTGTCTCGCCGTTGACAACCAGACGGCCTACAGCGTAATGACCATCGATGCAGCAGGCAGTGGTGCTTGCGCTTTCGTGGCCCTGCCAAAGTGGTCGTCAGATGGGCTGCAGGCGGAGATCCTCACCGCACTGCTCGACGGAGGCGCCGACATCAACACAACAGACGCTCACCCACAGTGCAGCAAGCCCTTGTGGGTGGCGATCGCACTGGGCAACCGAAGGGCATTTGACGTGTTCCTGCTGGTGGCTCGTCACGACATTGACCTGCGCGCAGCAGACGGCACAGACATGGTGTTGCAGCTGCCCCGTCCCCGGCGTGAGCCCACCGCCGAGTATCTGCAGGTGCTGCTGTCGATGTATGAGCGACTCATCACACGAGACCCCACCCTCGCCACCGAAGAAAGCTATGGCGAGAACCTGGTGGACGCGGCAGCCATGTTGACGCGAGGGCAATATCCCCAGCCCTTCATCGACAGCTACCTGGACCTCATCACCGCGAACGGCGCCGACATGACGGCAGTCGATGCCGGCTTTGGGGAGACGCCAATGCACTACGCGGCAGAGTATGGCTCTCCCTACGTGGCCGACTACCTCTGCCGCAAGCTGCCCGCTGACCAGATCGACAGACGGGCCGAAAACGGCGGCGACACGCCCCTCGCCAGGGCTGCCTACGAGCTCGATAAGCGCCTGCAGGCCCAGAATGAGGACGACGCCGAGATGGCCAACCGCAAGATGACCATCCGCACGCTGCTGCGGGCGGGGGCCGACATCACCGGGGCCGACATCACCAGCATCACCACAACCAGCTCTGCTTTTCTATGGCTTCCTGCGGCCATAGAGGGGCGTCGCCGTCAGCGCCAGCTGGTGCTGACCGAGTACGCTGCAGTGCTCAACGAGCTGCCCACTGCCGTCATGGCCGCCGTCAACGCCGCCCTCGCCCCCCACCGCTCCCTCGCGGCCCTCCTGACCCCCCGGCTGGCCGTCGGCCCGCAGGAGGCCCCCATCTTCGGCTGGCGCATCGCCTCATACCTCTTCGACATGGATGCCGCCCAGGAGGCCATCGGTGAAGCCATCGGTGTGCGGCACAGCGACATGGCCCGCCGAGTCTGTGCGGCAGCGGAGCACTTCGTCAAGTCGGCAGTGTACCAGATCAACAGCAACAGGGAGGTGGTGGGCGGGACGGCCGATGTGGGCGGCCATGTGGTGCGTGTGCCGCAGCTGCAGTGCTTTGTGGTGGGCGGTGTGGGTGGCCGCAAGATGGAGTTGCGTGAGGTGGTGCAGCGGGCCATCCTGGACGAGGCGGCCAAGTGGGAGATGGCGGGGGAGATCGACAACGGCTTCAGCAAGGATGTGGCTGCGGTGGAGTGGGGGGCGGTGGGGTGGGCCGAGAGGGGGCGGGACGGCAGGGAGACATTCAAATTGCTGCGGATGACATGAGACAGGCAAACAGATAGATGAGGGCAGGGTTGATTGTGGTGGCAGACAAGGTGGGGTGATTTTGATGTGGGGATGGATGGTGGTCGCTGCCTGACTCATTTGAGTGCTTCTTTGCAGCTTCCCTGTGTGCCATCTTGGCATTTTTTCACCCTTGGCTGGGGTGTTTGCATGTTTTATTGTCATCACTCACTCAGTCATCCAACAGCACTCAGCGACCTCATCATGCTGTGGTGAGTGCTGCTGGATCGATAGCTGCTGTGTTGACGTATGCTGAGTGGACAGTGTGTGGGTCGTGGAGGGGGACAGAGTGCGTTTGAATGGCTTTGAATGGCTTTGCTAATGTATCCGTCCATGGACGAATGGGTGAAGGTCGCTATTACTTCTTTGTCAGACTCATTCACTGAGTGCATAGCGTTGTCGCTTTTATCAATGAAGGAGTGAGTGGAGGACTGAACGGAGGTGGTCTGGCATGCATCTTGTCGACCGAACTCGACTCGTATCACCAGTTCGTCGACAAAATGCCCCCCCCCACACACACCAATGTCGTGTAAGCCCTTCAAATGATCAAGGTAATTGGGCACGCAGAATCTCTCAGACGAAAGGTCAGACAGCAACACACGCCCACACAGCGAGGCAATAGCAGCAGAAGGCAATGAATTCCAAGACCATCACACCACCCGTCCGCCAGCCAGGCAGCCGCCGTCTCTCCATTGACGTGCAGGCATCAGGTGAGCCACCACCACCACATTCGTCCGTTCACGTGGCACCTCAGTGGATGCGTCAGTGAACACATGATCGTGACAGCTCTCCACCTCAGCCCATCCATCCATCCATCCACCCCCCACCCATGTGTCGAGCCGTCCAGCCAGAAATGCAGTATCTAGCACATATACATGTTAGGGCCGCGCGACAGGGAAGCACTCGACTGAGTCAGACGGCGACAACCGTCCCATCCACACATCAAAGTCCACCCATCCCTGCCACCCAAACCTGTCTATGTCCGCATCTCACGTCATCTGCAGCGACCTGAATGTCTCCCTGCCGTCCCGCCCCCTCTCGACCCACCCCACCGCCCCCCACACCACCGCAGCCACATCCTTGCTGAAGCCGTTGTCGATCTCCCTCGCCAGCCCCCACTTGGCCGCCTCGTCCAGGATGGCCCGCTGCACCACCTCACGCAACTCCATCTTGCGGCCGCCCACACCGCCCACCACAAAGCACTGCAGCTGCGGCACCGTCACCTTGAGCCGCTTGTCGCCCTGCTGCTCATGCCTCGTCCCGCCCACCACCTCCCTGTTGCTGCTGGCCTGGTACACTGCCGACTTGACAAAGTGCTCCGCTGCCGCACACACACGGCGGGCCATGTCGGTGTGCCGCACACCGATGGCCTCACTGGTGGGCTCCTTGGCGGCATCCATGTCGAAGAGGTATGACGCGATGCGCCAGCCGAAGATGGGGGCCTCCTGCGGGCCGACAGCCAGCCGGGGGGCCAGGAGGGCCGCGAGGGAGCGGTGGGGGGCGAGGGCGGCGTTGACGGCCGCCATGACAGCAGGGCCCATCTCGTTGAGCACCGTCGCATACTCGGTGAGCACCAGCTGGCGCTGACGGCGGACCTCCTCTGTGGCTGTGGGGATGCTGCTGATGTCGCCTCCCACCCGCAGCAGCGAACGGATGATCCGCTTGTACTTGTCACTCTCGGCGCGATGCCGTTCCTTGGTGGCCTCGGGCGTCTCCAGGTCCTGAAGCTCTTGAGTGCGGCGATCGAGCTCCTCGGCAGCCATGGCGAGGGGCGTGTCGTCGAAGACTGTCCGTCTGTCGATGTTGTCAGCGGGCAGCTTGCGGCAGAGGTAGTCGGCCACGTAGGGAGAGCCGCACTGTGCCGCCCAGTGCAGTGGCGTCAGCCGAATGCCGTCGGCTGCCGTTATGTCGGCCCCGTTCGCCGTGATGAGGTCGAGGTAGCTGTCGATGAAGGACTGGGGATAGTGCCATTTCGCTCGCATGGCTGCTCGATGCACCAGGTTGTAGCCAAAGAGTCGTTGGGTTGCGAGGGTGCGGTCTCGTGTGATGAGTCGCTCATACATCGACATGAGCACCTGCACATACTCGAGGGGAGGCGCACGCAGGGGACGGGGCAGCTCCATATCGCCGTGCCCCTGCAGGCCGATGTCGGGCCGCTCCATTAGCAGCTCGAAGGCCGTCGCGTTGCCTGCCGAAATTGCCAGTTGGAGGGGCCCCGACCAGAACCAGCTTGGCGTGTTGATGTCGGCTCCTCCGTCGAGCAGTGCGGTGAGGATCTCCGCCTGCAGCCCAGCAGACGACCACTGCGGTAGGACAGCGGGACGGTCGTCTGCTTGGATGGTCGATATCGCATTGTCTGACAGGTTGTCAATGGCGAGACAGAGCAGCGGGTAGCGGAACCCAGGACGCTTGCTGCCCTTGTCGCTCAGCCGAGGCTTGACGTCTGGGTCGGCTCCTTCCTGCTGGATGAGGTCGGTCACTTGGCGTGGGTCCATGATGGTGCGGCCGATTATGCCCAGCCCCAGCTGCTTGCTGGCCTCGTTGGTGCCGAGAGGGAATCGAGCCTCGATGTCATTGACGCCCACACAGCCGTCTGCGACAGTCACGCCAGTGGCCGCCACCACAGGATGACCTGCAGTGCACAGAGCCACCACACGAGGGAGGTACATAGCGAGTGTGTGTGTGTGTAGCATTGTCACATCTGTCTGTCAGGCGTACCATGCTCCTCGTACGCCACCTCACTGTCGTCGGATGAGTCCTCACTGGCGTCGCCAGCACCATCCGCCTCCTGCATGGCATCCCGACACCACAAGAGGGCAAGGGAAAACGTGACGGACATCATATCGACGGGGAGTGTGTTCATAAGCGCCTCACCGGTTCGCTATCGGCTCCTGCTGCTGCTTGAGGGTCTGGCTCCTCGTCGGCCATCCCGCCCTCCTCCTGCTGCTGCTCGTCTGACCACAGACACAGGCGACGCACCGACGGAGAGCACATAGGGTGTGCTGTGCTGCTGGTGTGTCGACTGGTCTGTATAGCATGATTGGTCAGTCACTCACCATCAACGCCGTTGCGATTGTTTTCCTCTCCTGGCCCGCCGCCGCCATGCCCCTCCTCGTCTACGTCGCCTGCAGACACGATGAACCGCACAACGACAACCACATGAACGCATGTGGCGGGATGCACTTGTGTGTGGCGTACCTGCATCGCCGTCGGCATCGTCTGCCGTGGCAGCAGAGGGCATGCCGATGCCGTAAGGCTCAGACATCACTCAAACACACCCCAATTAGCAGCTGCATCCACCACATAGAGAGAGAGCCATGAGACAGATGGGCACATGCACCTGGTGGAAGCTTTGTGTCTGTGCCTGCCCACCTATTGTGTGTCGAATTATGGACACAGACGAGCAAATTGCCAATCGGTCCGCCACGCCGATAAGGCAGACTGCACAACACAATTATAGCGGCAACAGAAGCAGCGAATCACATGGTGACTCGTGATGAGTCAATCGCGTCCACCACTCACCGTCGTATAAAGCGGCTATAGCCGAGTCGAGCAGCTGCTCTGACCACACTCAGTATGCCGCTGGAGCTGCTGCCGCCGCACCGGAGAGAACGTACGTGACTCACGAGCGGAGGATGGGTAAGGCAGCCGATGAGTCAAGGCGGCTTCACGATTACGAATGAATGAGTGCTCTACCTGAATGGAGGCGGAGCATTTCTCCATTTCCGTCATTCGTGAGTGGTTGAAGTTAGGGTTTGAACCCTACACCCTGCATGGCGAGCTAAGAAGTGTGCGCGAAGTGTTCCTCAGATGAGTGACAGTGCAGCGACCAGGCGACCTCAGTAAGACATTTCGTGAAACCGCTCTCAAGTTCGCTCTTCGTAAGCACACAAATGACGGAAATGGCAGTGCATTTCGAGAGTGAAGCTTGTATAGCCGCGGAATTGACAGATCTTGTGCTCATCTCTCCACCATGACACCTGGAAGTATCGCCAGCGTGTGGCTGGTGCTGCTGGGGACCCTGTCGACAGCGGCTGGCACACAGGTACGCGTGTTGCCGGTCAGTCAGCACACAGACAGACAGACAGACAGACAGACGGCAGGACACACGAGTCGGGCAACCATCAAGGGCTTGTGCGCCTCCTCATGATGTCGTGTGTGCAGTCGGTCTTCGTGCACGTTCGTCGCCCCAGCGTGCCCATCGCCGTGCCCTCGTCACTGCATCGCATCACCAGCCACGAGCCCTTCGTGGCGGTGCCCAGCTCCACAACGGCACTCGCAGCTGATGCTCACTCGACTGCTGATGATGCTGACGCTGCTGATGATGCTGACGCGACATCTTCTGTGGGAGTGTGGGTGAAGATAACGGAAAATGGCGCCGGTGGCAACATAGTCCTGGTCGAGTGCCCGAAGGACGCAATGCTCGTCGATGTGGCGAGCCTGATAGAGGACCGTGGGTTGACGCCCAAGCGGCTGCTGGCCAAGAGGTTTATCTTCGAAGGGGAGGAGCTGCGTCTCAGCGCCACCGTGGACAAGGTGCTGGAGAAGGCGGGCAGCACCGACGACAAACCGCTCATTCTCGACGTCAAGCCCGTTCCACAAAGTACGCAAAGCCACCCAGACAGGCACGCACACAAGATCCTTGGGCACGCAGTCCGCTCTAACTTCTGTGCTCTTTCGTGTCTGTGGGTCTCGGCAAACAAGGTGCGGGAGGAACACTCTATCGCCCTCGACGAAGGAGATCAAGCAGCGCCTTGTGGTTTGCACTCTTGGATGATTGAGTGAGTGACTGACTGACAGGTAAGAAGCTGGCCCTCCTCCGGTCGAACAACTACCGCCTGACGGACCTTCTCCAAGTTCTCCTCACTATATTTAGTTTCCTGGCCCTCAAAGACCTGTGGAATACCGTGATGGCAATTCTGGACGGTGACGCGAACATGGGCAAACTCCCGGAGCAGATAGGAATTGCCGTGGCGCTTGTTTTTGCGTCGTATCTGCTTGAGGCCATCCGTGGTGGCCAGGAAGCTGATGCACTGCGGGAGGCCATGCGTGTGTCAGGGGAGGGGACAGGGAAGGTGGAGGAGGGTGGAAAGGCAGCCAGGTGAGGCTCATGCATTGCTTTGCATTGCCATGGCAAAGGTTTGTCTGTATGTATGCGCATGCCATTTTTGCGTGCGTGGGAGGGAGGGAGGGAGGGATGACATGGCTGACAGACGCATAGGCAGACAGACGCAGCACAAGACCAGGCAGCCGTGAATGGCATGAAGGTGTCTCTCTTTCTCTGTGCACCATGTGGGCAGGTATGTATGTGTATTCATTGGTGTGCTGTGTTTCAAGAGTAGTGTATGTCTTGGGCAGGGAACGTGATGAAAGGATGGTACATGTATGAGCAGAGGCGCGTGCATACGGGTTCCTTTGCTTATTGGAGCTTGCTTTTCAAGATGCATGCATCGGGCTGCGTGGTGTAGACGCGAATCGGTTGAGCAAGCAACTTGTGGACTGAATAGACGGACAAGTTAACTCATAGCGCAACGGCAGGCAGAGTCTGTCGGTCTCTCATAAAACGTGTCAAGGCTGACATGCGCAACCTAACGTCAGGAATAACGTCCGGATCCATAGAAGGAATGAATCGAATGAATGTTTCTCGCTTCCGTTTGCCTCCTTACCCGCTGGTCGTCTTATATCTTCTCAGGAAGGTCTGCTGTTCGCCTCCTTCCCGGCCGGGAGGAGGGGTCGACATTCCGTGAAACCGCTCTCTCCGGAGTGGAGAAGGGAGATCTGACGCGCATTGCACGCGGCTGATCGGATCTGGCTGTCGAGCGTGATGATACCTGGGAGAGTGATGATGCACGAGTGATGCACGCCCTCTGACCCATCCTCTGTCGCGGCAGATGCCCGTGCGCAACACATTGCCCGTGGGGCACGACGAACACGAGCACGAACAGCACGTTCAGCTGGCCGTGTGTATGCAGGGTCTGCAGCAGCCGGTGGACAGCGAGGCGTATACGAGCGAAGGGAGACCGCCGGTGAGTGGGCACTCATACATGACCGCACGTGCATCCATTGCGCACGTGCGCCGGGTCTGTGTGTGTGTTTGTCCACATCAGTCGGACGCCAATGCGTGTTGGTTGGTCGGCTTGCCCGAGGATGTGGAGAGGCAACTGCTGGCCTTTCTCACGGCGGAGGATTGTGGCCACTTCCGCGCCTCGTCCAAGAGTGTCGGCTGCCAGCTGGTCAATGAGGCCTACCTGACGCACCGCATCGATGCTGCCATTCGCGAGGAGGGCCTCACTGGCGTGTTCACGTACCAGAAGCGGTGCGTGACGGTCCTGCTGCTTCTGCGGCAGTGGATCACGGCCACTCTCAGCGCGGTCTCCCTTCTCGTTCCAATTGCCGTGGGCGGGATCGTTCTCGTCGTCCTTTATATGCCCATCCTCCTCTGTACCCTCGTCATGACCCGTGGGCTGGCCGACTTTCTGGAGCCGCTGGCTGGATTCCCTCACTGGATTCACAGGCCTATCGTAGTTTTTTACATGACTCTCTACTCTCTCCTACTCTTATTGGTGGTCCCGGTTTTTGTGATCACAGAGGCCATTCGATTGCTTGGGGAGGCATCCTTCGTCGTGCGAGCGTATAGGCAGTTCTGGGTGGCGAGGGACGGCGTATGTGACCTTCTGTGGTCCGTCGCTCGCTCTGTCGTGAGTGGGCTGCGTGTGGCGCTGTCGATCGGCAAGCTATTCCTCGGCTCTGCAGCCACCCCTGGCACCTGCATCGCATGGCTTCGGTCCCCGAGCGGGAAGAGGTTTCTGCTTCAGCTGGGCGTGACCCCGCCACTCATCATTGTCGCCACAAGATGGGTAGTGCCCTGCATCTTATTATCGCTCATCTGCCTGGTCATTGTATGCCATCTCCTCCATCTGCGCTGGAGTGAGCTGGTGCTGCGGCTGGCCGACACCAGGGCGAGTTATCTGTTGCGGCTGCTGTACGTGATTGAGGAGGGCGGCCGCTGGGACCGGTGTGTTTCGCTTATCCACTACCTCAGGAACTGCCGCCTCCTCCCCTCTCTGCCCATCACCATCACGGCACATGAGCTGCAGCAAGTGGGCAGCCGGGCGGTCTTCGACACGCGGCCCCCGGCGGTGCGCCAGTACTCGCTATTCAGTCACCGTATCCGCGAGCATGTGGATCTGAGCTGTGTCAACGGCCGGGACTATGTGGGACCCTCATCACTGACACACCCCTTGACCTACGTCAGCATCGATTTGACCGAATCCGACCCGCCAACCAAATGTGAGCAGAGCAGTTTGAATGTGCAAACCGTTTCCTTATGTCAGCTGTCTGTCTGCAGGTGACAGGTACGTATACTCTTCCTTCACAGACTTGATAGTCTTTTTGATCGACGCGCATTTCGTGGACGGGAACGACTTTCGTCTGCGGCCCCACTTCACCCACCCAAGTGACCTCCTCAATCCGCCTCCCAGCGAGTACCAGCTCACCCAAGACGTCATGCTGCACGCAAGGGGGGAGTGGAACGGCTGCCGCAAAGCGGCCTACTGGCGGGTCGACGAGGCAAATGTGCTGTGGCAGGCGCCGCGCTTCATTCTGTGTGGGAAAAAGGCGGCCGATGATTTCCTGGTCCGCGTCGACTTTGGCCTGAAGATCTGCACCACTGAGCGCCCCGTTCCTCGGAAGCGCCGCCCAGATGAGCGGTACCCTCAGACAGCTGCTCTTATCCACCAGAAGGTGGTAGCTGCATAGGCCTCGGCATTCGGCCATAGACACACGCACAGAGAGGGAGGGAGCGAGGGAGGGAGGGGAAGTGACTGACTGCAGGTGGGTGGGTACGTCTAGTGCCACGAGGGGTCCTGGTGCTGGTTTAAGTCTCTATTTGTATACGAAGGGCGTCCGTGGACGCATTGTGTGTTTCCCTCGGGCTGCCTTTGTATGTATGTGTAGTCATCTGCATGACGATCTTGATCCATCTGAGTAGACAGGGAGGGGCTGTGCGAACTGTGGTGTCTATGCGTTCGTGTGACTTGCTGTGCGTCAATCAATTTTCACTCCATTCATCCAGTCGCTTCAGGCCAAAGTGTCGGCAAACATTCAGCACACCCACATACACACCCACACCCCAAACCACACACATGAACGACTTAGCCAGCCAAAAAATGATGGGAATACACAGAAGACAGGCAGGAAGATCTGCTCACTCTTGAAGCGAGACTTCCGGGTTGGCTGCCGGCTCAACCAATCGCCGCACCTCTGCCCGATCACTGGTGGACCGCCCACGTGGGGCTCACTAGAGGCTGCTCGGGTGCACCACCACCACCGGCAGCCTGATCATTGCAGCAGACACACAAATTCGGCAGCTAGGTTACCATCTTTGTGACTCACTAGCTAAGCTTTTTCTTACCTCCTGGCTCTGCTGCTCCATCTGCCTCTTGGTTCGCTTGTTCATCTCGCGTACCTTAGCGTCGGTCTCCGCCACCGGCTCCTTGTTCTCCTGCGGCCATCTCAGCCAGGCCTGGTTCTGCCACACCAGCATGGCCGCCTCCCTCGCCAACTCGCTCGCCCGGCCAGTTGGGCTTGCCGTCCCTCTCCCACTTGGCCATGTTGACGGCCACCCGCTCCACCCACCCCGCCTCATCGAGAGAGGCCGGGGGTGGGTGCGCGGGAAGGGGACGGGGAAGCGGAGGCCTCTCGGCTGTGTGCAGCGGTTGGGTGGCACTGCCGCTGCTCAAATGGGGCGGGGAGGGGAGCCACCGCATTCATCCTCTCCCCGCCATTCGTCGACAATCTAATCTGACAGAGACCACGAAGGCAACAAACCGGTGTTTCGTCAATCCATTCGTCAATCCCGGTCTTTTCTTGTCACATGGGAGAGTCGGCTCACGGCTCTGCCTGTTTTTTTGCCATCGCTTTCAGCTATTGTTTCTCCAGGATGCCTCCGGATATACTGCTCGCAATAGATCTCTTGAAAGGGCGGCTTTCGTGGCCTTTTTCGTCGACAGCGATCCAACCAGAAGCTCGCACCGAAACCAAAAGAAGAAGGGAAGGAAAGACGACGAAAGATGACGGAAAGATGGCGGAAAGACGTCACGTCCTCCTTTCCCGTCTGTCCGTCCGTTGCATTATCACTCTTGACGTATCCTCTGTCGCTGTCGAGGCCTTCAGGGAATTAGTCATCGCGGCGCTTGGCAGTCCCTCTCGAGCCATCCGACGGTACGCGCACACGCGATTGGTTCGCCACGAGTCAATGCCATGATGTGGCTTTGCGGCCTTTGTGTGTCGGTGTCGGTGTTGTGCAGGTCGGCCTCGGTGACGGGGCGGACTGATTGAGCGCCTTTGTATACCATTTGACTCATAGCTAGGTGGGCGAGCACACACACGACACATGCAGCAGGTGTCTGCCCATCTCTTGTCGCCTCTCTGTGTGTGTGGTCGGTGCAGCTGTTGGTGTGTGTTGGAGTGAGATGTCTGGAGGTCACGACAGCCGCATGGCCTCCGCTGCCATGGCGGACGGTGACGGTGGCGATGCGGGTACGCCACACACAGATGAATGTGACACATCAAACACACAGCATCAGCGCCACACGTGTGTGTGTGCCTTCGATGGTGTGTGCAGAGGAGGAGCATAGCGGCAGTGGACAGGCGGAGGACTCAGATCGCAATGGCGCAGACAGCGGTGAGTGACCAGACCTGCCACACAGACCATTCGACGCACACACACACAAGCAGCACACTCACGCCGGGTCAGTGAGGGTGTGTGTGTGTTGGTGCCCAGGCGGCCAGCAGCAGGAGGGCGCGATGGCCGATGAGATGGCCGACGGTGATGATGGTCCGCAGGCAGCCGATGGAGACGAATCGGTGAGGCACTCATCGACACCAACACTGGTCCATGTGATGGAGGCCCTCGAGTCATTTTCCGCCCTCTGCCTCTTTTTGTTGTGTGTCAGGATGGCATGCAGGACGAGGATGGCGATGATGACCAAGATGACGATATCGATGACAGAGACTCCGACGATATCTGTGACGGTACGCCAGGCAGACGCGAGAGAGGATCCCACGCGCACAATCACTGCCCGTTGTGTGGCTGTGTGTGTGGCAGGTCATCCTCTCAGTGACCTAGCAGATCCCACTGTCCCTGTGCCGGACGGCCATTTCGGGCTCGATGAGCTGGAGGCTCGTTTCCCCGAAGGCACCAGCGACGCCACCAGGGAGCTGTCACGGTGGATCATTGGCCGCCGCTTCACCAGTGCCCGAGAAGTGACCGACCTCATCCGGCAGCAGCGGGCCGACCCGGGTGTCATGACCGGGCTGGTGGGCAGGGACAGCAGTGGTGTCGTCTACGGCTACCCACTCTTGTGTCTCGCCATTGACAACAAGTCGGACTACACCGTCCCGACCATCGAAGCCGAAGACGATGATGGTTATGCTGTCCTCCGTCCCGTCGCACTGCCCCAGTGGTCGTCGAATGAGCTGCAGAGGGCCGTCCTGACCGCACTGCTCGACGGAAGGGCAGACATTAATGCGGCAGCTGACGAGACCCAACAGACCCCCATCCAAGTGGCGATTGCATGCGGCAACGAGATAGCCTTCCACATACTGATGGCTCGTCAAGGCATCGACCTGCGCGCATCATCCCCACACATGGTGATGGAGCTGCCCTATGCCCTGCGTCCGCCTCCCTCCGAGTATCTGCAGGTGCTCATGTCGATGTATCGGCAACTCATCACACGAGACCCCACCCTCGCCACCGAAGAACGCTATGACTACAACCTGGTGCACCAGGCAGCCGAGCGGGCGAAAGGGCTCTATCCCCAGTCGTTCATCGACGCCTACCTCGACCTCATCACGGCGAACGGGGCCGACATGACGGCAGAGGCCGGCATTAGATGGACGCCACTGCACTTCGCGGCACTGGATGGCTCTCCCCCAGTGGCCGACTACCTCTGCCGCAAGCTGCCCGCTGACCAGATCAACAGACTGAACGTATTCTACAAGACGCCCCTGGCCCTGTCTGCCGAGGAGCTCGATGACAACACCCAACAGCTTCAGCTCCCCGACACACCCGAGGATGCCAAGGATCGGCATCGCGCTGCGAGTGACAAGTACAAGCGGATCATCCATTCCCTGCTGCGGGCGGGAGGCGACATCAATCTCATCCCCACAGCCACAGAAGAGAACCGCCATCAGCGCCAGCTGGTCCTGACGGAGTACGCCACAGTGCTGAACGAGCTGCCCGCTGCCGTCATGGCAGCCGTCAACGCCGCACTGCGAGATCTTCGCGAGATAGCTGACGCGCTGACCAAGGCATTCCACAACGGCACCGCTCAGCAGCTCAAGGCCGCCTTCCCCTCATTCGACCCATCGCTCGACTCCCTGCACCCTCCTCCCCTGCCCCCCCACGTCACCCCGGCGGCCCCCTGGCAGGACGACGAGACGCCCCTGGCCAACCGGGACATGTCGGCTGTGGCGTGGCGCGTGGCGTCATTCTTCGTCGACCCATCGGTGCTCGAGCAGCGCCCCCGCTTCGTGCAGAATGCGACTGAGGTCGGTCGCCGCATCAACACCGCCATGGCGCGATTCGTGGAGGCCGCAGCGTCGCTGCAGGTGGTGGGCAACGAGGAGGTGGTAGGCAACGGGGGTAGGAAGCGGGACAGCGAGGGCCAGGTGGTGAGGCGCCCGCAGCTGCAGTGCTTCGAGCTGAACTACGACAGCCGTCCGCGTGAGGCGGTGCACACTCATGGCCGTGTGGGTTTGCGTGAGGTGGTGCATCGGGCCAGGCTGGACGAGGCGGCCAAGTGGGGGCTGGCGGATGGGGCGGTGGTCAAGGGCTTCAACGCCCACCTGGGCGATGCCGACTGCCAGTTCACATGGCAGCAGCTGGGGGCCGCATTCCAGTAGCTGACTCTGAGGGGGATTTGGATAGCGGCGGGGACGATGTGATGGAGGAATAGTGGACGACATAGATGAATGAGGGAGGCAGGCAGGTAGACAGGCGGGGGGG